CCCCAAAACCCCAAAACCCCAAAACCCCAAAACCCCATAAAATACCAAAAATATTGAATAAATCATAGAAAATGAGCAATACATCCTCTAGGTCTTCAAAACTAAGAGTAAACAGCCTCGATGAAGGCTATTCAAAGAAGAGTCATTTCAAAAAAGAAGGTGATATAAAGAAAGGCAAAATTTTAAGCAAATTAAGACAATTAAAGTAAGGATTGGATGATTATCAATAAAAAATTGCACACTGCACAGGTTCTTTTTGCTCTCAAGATCTTTCATCTAAAATAGAGAATTAGTTACATTACCTAAACAAAACATTTCCAACTCTTAATATCACAACATCACCCCTTTCCTTACCAATAAGTCAGGATCATCTATAAACAAGCTCGGTCTTCTCTACATCTCAAATAGCATATCTCATGAGGCGGCATTCAACCACTTGATATTAAAATTCCAACTCAAACTATACAATCTTGACCAAGATCTGGTCTTTTTGGCAACTTTCTCTGCTAAGTGATTTATTCATAATTGAGGCCAGATCTATATAGCCATTAAAGTATAGCCAAAGCTCCTGCCCAAAACATCCTTAACATACTTAGGAAAATTTACAGCTAAAGTTTGTTGTGAATTTTTCATAAATATGAGCATCATAGAAACTTTTCTGAACTAATTCGCTCATAAAAAGATCTTTAAGCTAGACCCAGGAATAGTTTTGCACTCTGAAATTAAAAAATATGTATCTAGTTATAGTTGCAGTCTTAGAGAATAAGTCGCTCTGTTGGTGGACTTTTAAGAAATAGTGTAAACCTTTGTTTTGGCTGGAAAATAATGTATCATCTAGGAGGAAAGACGAACATCCTGAGCTGAAAAGATATAAGTATATGACTAAAAGGCAGAGAATGGTAGGGTAGGCTTTAAAATATTCCCCTTGGTCTTAATTAAGTCTTTATAGAAGAAATGACCACATGGGAAGCCTCCTCGGCATTATTCGTAGCTCGTTTGATGAGAGAATGAGTAAGAAATTAGGAAATGATAGTATATCACCTACTAAGTCTTTTTCTAAGAAGAAGAGAAATCTGAACAGATCGATCGACTGAGATGACACTTCTGATGTATCAGTCAGACAGCCTCGATGTAAACTAAAATCTGAAAATATGAAGGAGTATATGTACATGAGGAACACCAGTACTTTTAAGTAAGCTAGAAGTTATTATTTTATTCTTTAAAACTATTTTCCATCACTATCCAATCAAGGTTTACACTAATGTTTTAATAGAGACTGTGATAAAAAAGTCGTGGATACTCCAAAAATCATTAGAAGGAAAGTACCTGATGTAGACTTGTACCAAACCCTAGTTTAATAATTTAGGAGAAAGAAGACGTTAAGCAATAACTTTATGAAGGATAAACTCCATTCTATTTGTGACGGCCCGAGTATATTTTTCCCTTCACAAGTACTTTTAACCTCTAACCCTCTAGATCAAGGAAGATAATTTTGAAGAGTCATCGACCAATACGAATGGATCTTTCCAGAACTCAGTGAACAAGATTGAGCGAAAGACTATCATTAGAAGACGAAGAGAAGAAAGAAATCGAAGTAGCTCAGAAATTCTTATTTTTTAGGCCTTGATTTAACTGGAGAGGAGAGGTTCAAAGAGTACTACAAAGATATTATTAGTAAGAAGGAAGAAGTCAACCAGAAATTGAAGGTAGGATAGGTCTCTTCCTTTAAATTATTTTGATTCCCTTTGTTCGCTCACAAATCGAACAAATTATCATGGTTTAAATTTTCTGATAATTTTGTGCTACTGATTTCGTGGATCATCAATATTTTAGAGCTGACACAATCGGATTATTGACAAGCTCAAGAATAAAATGACAGCTAATGGAGTGCACAAATTAAGAAATAGGGTAAGTCTACAGTCACTAAAGTCTCATTCATATCTAAAGCTCTTGCTAAACTTCTCTCTTTTAATTCTATTTTCTATACACACATAGCAATATGCTGAATGTAATGACTCATAAATTTACTTTCATTCATGAATCAATAATTCAATCTGCAGAAGGTGTGAGCTTTCTGCTGATCTAAATTCTAAAATCTCCGACTGCTTCTAGCAAGATCTAAGCCTATTTTAACCCCTGCCTGAATTCTCTAACTCTCGATATAGCTCGAAGAGATCGTTAATGGTAAGTTTAAGATGCTGAAACAAGAAGCTCATTGGTTTGAAAAGCCGCAAAAACAGGAAGCCTTGTCTTAAAAATAATAGAATTTTTCAAACATGTTTGAATCCTGTACCTCTTTGGCATAAAAATTTTCTTCATGAATACTAAAATGATATATTATTTAGATAAAGATTTTTCTAATTTGTGAGCTGGTTGTCAATTTTTAAACAGTATTTTTAAAGTATATCCTGAGCATTAATAGAGCCTAACTCGGCTGCTTGGAATTAAGTAAACATTCTTTAGTTATTTAGTTTGATGGTAATCATAATCATATAGACTCCAATTGCAGTGTCCTGCTCAAAAGAAAGAAGAAAATAGTTAGAAGGAAGATCTTTGGAATTGAGTCAATTGAGGCTTGAATTTAGTATCTTCATTTATTAATGAGTTCAATGAAATAGAAAATGTGTTTGCCATATTATTATATCATTTTGAACAATTTTCGGTGAGAATTTCAATTTGGCATGAAATAAGGGGTTTTGGGGTTTTGGGGTTTTGGGG